CGGGATATTTACATGAAAGTTATGTCAAAACATAATGTTAATTCGAAGAACTCAAAATACCAAAAATGAAAGCAATTTCATTTGAAAAGGGTGCCTAGAATCATAAAAATAAAAAAAAAACGTGGCCGAACATTTATATGAGATCTAAATAAAAGTGTGGACCCATTTATAAAATAATTTTAAACAAAATTTTATATGAGTTTCCTTTATATATATATGAACAATTTTATACCCTCCACCTTGAAGGAACATTAAAAAATCGCAAAATCAGTATAAAAATCCTATTATACGTGGACTATGACAAAACATGAATCTAACTTCTGGCAAAAGATTTTATTTATTCTCTAAGACTACGAAATTATAGACACTTCGATTGGAAAAGATCCACTGAAATATAAGGTTGCGGAAAAAGATAACCATTAATTTTTCGGCAGATAGCTGTACTGATAGTATCGATCGTAAAGTATCGATCTAACAATTTCAAATTTATGCTCGTTGGAAGTCTGACATCTATGTGCAAATTTAGATTCCGTTCAAGAATTTTTGATGTTAAAGATGCACATCGCACAGACAGGCCGGTCGTCGAAAATGTCGATAATATCGGAGAAATAATCGAATCTGACCGGCATGTTAGCAGTCGTAACATCGCCCAGGAGCTAAAAATCGACCATAAAACTGTTTTAAACCATTTACACAAAGAAAGAAGCACGGTTTTTGGATGCCACACCGAATTAACTGAATTGTCCAACAGGAGAGGCGTCGTGTTTCACCAGGACAACGCTGGGCCACACACATTTACCTAAAGTAACTCGCCAGAAACTTCGGGATCTTGGTTGGGAAGATTTAATGCATCCGTCATACAGTCGGGACTTGGCACCAATCGATTATCATCTTTTTCCTGCATTGCAAATTTTTTCTAATGTTAAAAAATTTGTATCTAGGGAGGATTGTGAAAATCGACTACTAGAGTTTTTTTTGCGAATAGAGAGCAGGACGTCTTTGAGAAAGGGATAATGAAGATAACTTTAAAATGGCAACAAATCATACAACAAAACGGTACATTTTTGGACCAAATACATCATTCCGAATCATGTTAAATAAAGTCCTACAGTTCATATAAAAATAATTGATTTCCTTTTCCTCAACCTAATATTTTTTTTATTGTATGGCTGTTCTTTTGGAGCTATAATTACCCAATACATATACATACTTATATGTGCATAACCAGGGCCATATAAGCGTAAATCAAAACAAACGCTGAAAAATGAATTTAATAGAGGATTTAGGAATGGATATTTTTCTGTAACTGTGCAATTAATGAGTTACCCGTTATTCTTTACAGAAAATCTGAATTTCTTCAGTTGAGTCTATAGAAATCAAATGCTTTTGTACTTTTGCTTTTCTGTAAAAGACTCGATAGAATATGGAGGACACATTTTTTAATATCTCCTGTGTTTCAGAAAATTTTTAAAATTTTTAATATTGTGTAGCAACCTGATTCTTCTTCTATTCTATATTGAATACTACCTATAATAAACCTCTTGTAATCGGTAGTCCTTCTTATTGAAGGGTTTCGATGGGTCTCTTAACTATAATTTGTAATAAAATTACATACCGCAATTATGGCCAAATCGTCAGGAAATTTGCCACGAATTTTTACACGAAGAAAGAGATGTGACCAAAGAATAAGCGGGGGTATTTTGATTATGATTGGTCAATATTTAGCATTAATATTATACTGCGAATTTGTTCATTTTGTACGATATTTAGATCTAATGAAATTTGAAGCCCAGTGGTAGTTTTGTAAGGTATAATATGAACGGCTCACTCCGACTATATTTCTCCGCTCACAGGATTATTCATGGAATACCTCCATCAGAAGACCATAACATAGTCTTATTCGCTGTCTAAGGAAGACCATCTATGGAAATTTTCTATCATTAGAAGACCTTCTTATACCATTAGAAAATTTAAAGAAGTCCTTCTACCTATCCTGTAGAATGTTTCATATTTTTTGACTTCCTATAGAAGTTTTTTATCTATAAAAAACTTATAGCAGACATCTAGAATGTCCTTCATCCTCCAGTCCTCCATATTGAGAAGACCAGGTTTTTTTTGAAGATGAACATCGGTCTTCGTGTAGTTCTTTTATGGGTCTTCTGTAAAAAGTGGATCCATAGAAATTTGACCGTTTTAAATTCACTCTCTGGATAAAATGTATTGTCAAGATCTGGCTTACCGCTTCTACATATATTGAATGCCACCTACCAACCACCTTGGGCTGATGATTTTCTCAAGGATAAAATATTCTTTGAGGAAAAAATAAATAGTAGAAAAATAATAGTCTCAAGGTACAGATTGAGGTCCTCCTACAGGTGTCCTTAATGGTTGAATTCATCTAATTTATGGTATAGTTGGCCTTATGCAGCCCTTGGAAATGGATTCCAAAGGGCTTCTATATAAAAATGGGTTCACAGAAGACCACCTCAAGATAATATTACAGAGTAAGACCCCCAGGTGTTCCATTTTAAACGGTAAAAATAGAGAATGGTTTAAAATGGATTGGAGACCCGATCCGTCTTCTCAAAGTAATGCAATATATTTCTGAATAAAACCAATTTTAAAAGGCTTTTAAATGACTTCTAAATCTACAGGGTTATTATACATAGCTTTTATATAGTAACGACCACCTCAAGCATTTTTCTAAAAGTTATCAATGTTGGCCTTATTCCGGCTATATCTGAATGAATAAATATTATTACAAAGCAGAAAAGGACTGTTCCTAGAATGAAGACAAATGTTGAACTTTGACAAATTTGAATTTAATTCGCATATGCAAGTTTCGCATCAGGGCGGAATAAATACAAGTTATCAACGTACGACATTTGTAAAGCCACATAGCCCAATATGCCTGATGAGCCGCTTAACCAACGGCGAAACGCGTCGCATAATGGTGGGTACGTAGGTTCTTCTCCTGGCTTTCCTTTTCATTGCAAAACTTAGATCATCAAGCTCGACTCGAAAGAGTATAAATAACCACTTAAAATTACTTTCAAATGATCACTGCCCTTACAAGGCAAAATTGAAATAACAAAAAAAAAAAAAAAAAAAAAAAAAATTATTATTACAAATAAGAATCTAAAGCACCTATCTGATTGTAATGGGGATTCTAAAATCGTTTAAAGTACTTCAGAGGATAGTAGACACCATGAAGGTTATTTCTTAATTAAATACACCGTTAAGGGCTTCTATATAAAAATGGTCGTCCTTACCCATACTCATACCCATCTACTGGGCTTCTTTAAATTGATTTTTTTTTACAGTTTATCTGTAAGTTTTCGCTGAGAATTTGAGACACTGAAACTATTCGAAATGTTTGGCGATGTTAAGGTCGCAGATCCGGTCCTTTGTGAATAAAATAAATAAAAATACTCCTATATAAAGGTCCTTATCAAGGGATTTCCTGGATAGATGACATTCGATAGGGCTTATATATGGTATTCCTCCACCAGGTCTTATATAAGTACTTGATGAGAAAAAAAATTGAAGGCATGGATATTGTAGACGATTAGGAATCAAAAATTCTCTCTGTAAATGTCCTTTGAAAATATGATGTCATTAGTAGGGCCTATCTAGATGAAATACACTGTAAGGGGGTTATCTATACAATGGAGAAATGTTGGGTGCCTTCCTACAGGTCTTTTATCAGTTCTAACTGAGAATCTGTAACATTGAAGGAATAAGCAATGATTGACAATATTGGGGTCCTAATAACGCCGTGGAGGTTCTTTATGAACGGAAGACCATTCAAAGTGTTTCTATATATAAAAAGTCCTTGTCAAGGGAATTATTATACATATTGACGTTCCACGGAACCGCTCCTTCTTTCATTAGTACTTAATGAGAATTACTATCCACTTAAATATCTGAAATACCCAACTAATATCATGGAAAATAACTTGCAATTGATGGGGGATCCGAATTTCGTCAGTTAAACATCACATGAAAATTTGAGGTCTCATGCAGAACTTATCTAAATAAAATACACTGTAAAGATATTGCGAAAGTCTTGTTCAAACATAAGACAATCTGCAGGTCTTTTCTCCTGCAGGCCTTCTACTATAAACTCTCAATGGTTATAGCTCAACTTAAAATAGGTCATACTCATTTAAAGGCCTTGCGTATATAAGGACCCTTCTAAAGGCATTATTTAGACCGGAGATCAGGAGACATGGTTTCTGTTGATAGAAGTTTATTATGACGGTTTTAACACTGAGAATCTCAAGCACAAATTGCTTGCAATGGTCTGTGGATCCCAAATACTGAGTTTTATTGTCTTCTGAAAATTGATGGTCTTATGCAGTCACACTGAAAATTCTGAAGATTCGTTTATTTCTAGAGCGTCTATAGAGTGAATACGTCATACGAGTTTTCTTCAATGAGGGTTTCAATCCACTGAGAATCTAAAGCTCCCGAAAATATGAGGTGTTATGCAGGTTTTTTCTAAAGGAACTTGTCCAGGTCTTACTCATACATTGGATAATTTATAGTCATCAAAGAGTGTACAGCTCGAACTCAATATTGAAATGTTTTAATTCGGAATCTGAAATTTCAATTTTTGAAAAAATATTCCCAATCCCATAACCCTTTAAAATCCCTTTTCGGATTACATACAAACATATCCGCATTAAAAAATAACACACCTCTTGTGATTTAAGTACGTTTTTCCATATGTGTGTGAGAGTGTCTGTCTGGAAGATATGTATAAAAGTGTGTGAGTGTATTACTTCAGTGTAGTTATTTTTGTTGTTGGTTGCTGATTCCTGAAGAAGAAGCACAAATGTGTATGTAGTTTATTTTTGTTCCACCTGAACAAAAACAGAACAACAAACGAAACAAAGAAGAAAAAATCCAACAAAAAATGATTAAAAAGGATTACAACAATGTGGTTCAAAGGCCTAGTGCTTCCACACCAACATCTGCACCCGCTCGCACACACCCTTTAAGTCATATGCCAATCACCCTTAAGTATCCGGGTAAATGTCTTTTTAAATTGCTGATTGGCAAGGGCATAACAGAACGGGTTCATGGGACTATTGGCATAGCATAGGAAATACGAGAACATGTACAGGTGTTCATTGGTACAGGGTGGATTGCGGCAAAAACCTTCGACCAGCGCCAGTACATGATAGGGGGTCCAGCAGGCAACGAAACAACCCAAAATGAAAGAGATTGTGCGGAAGGCCTTACGGGCCCTATTTTCCGATTTGGATTTTTGTCGCCCGACCCCAATTACCAGGGGTATGGTAGCTTTTTTACTTTTAAAATGTTTACTAATCGATTGCATGAAATCCCGTTTACTCGAACTGCGACTACTACTCGAAGCTGCATGCTGCAGATGATGTGAATGGGGTTTCTTTTGCAGTTTTAGCGATGAGGATTGTCGCTGGGGTCCGGCGTGAGGGGCGGGATGCTGCTGCTGCGCTTGTGATGTGGTGCCCGACCCCGAACTGGTACCCGATGTGGAAGCCATTTTTTGTGTGGTATCTGAAGTTTCTCGTTCATCGATTTTGTCCAGACTTTTGGAGGTGACCAGAGGGGCGGGGGTTGTCACCGTTGTTGGAGCTGTGGGTGCTGTTGTTGCTGTCGTGGTGGTCACTGTTGTCCCACAATGACTGTTGTTGTTATTATTATTGTTATTTGTTGTTGTTGCTGTGCTGGTGGTGGTCCTTTGACCCCGTTTCTCTGAAGACGTCGTCGTCGTTCCAGACGCCGCCATTGTCATGACCAATTTACTGCCATTGGTTTGCTGCGTAGTTATTGAGGTGTATTTCAGGAGGCCCGCATCGGCACTATTGTGTCGCGGAAACATTAAATTACTGGCATCGATGCAGCTTTCCCGACGCACCCTCTCAAAGTCCTCCAGACCTGTATAGGAGACAAGTAAATGTTTTTCAATTTCAATGGTATTGGAGGTGGAGGTTGTGGTTGCAGGGTGAGGTTGGATTGGGGATTGTAGGTTCTTGGTGGAAATCGTATTATTGTCACCTTGTTGTTGTTGTTGCGGTTGCAGGGGAGTGGTTGTGCTGGCGGTTTGGGCTGCAACTTTTTGCAAAGCCTGACTTAACAGCGTGGGACTGCTGGCATTCTGTTTGGCATGGCCGGCACTTGGAAGTTTATTTGTCGCAGTGGTCGCCGCGTTAGCCCCACCACCGTTACTATAATTATAGGTGGTGGGCGAGGCCATTGCTATGGAACTCTCATCCATGAAGCGCAATTCCGAATTGTTCGCCATCACATCATAGGTCAAATGCAATTCGCTGTTACTGCTCGGATTCTCAGAGGTATCGGAGAGCAGGGAGCTACACTGGAATTGTTCCGGTGGCGGGAGGATGGCATGTACCAAACTTGCCTGGACCTGTTCGCGGGGCACAACAATGGGAGCCAAATTAACCGGTGACAATGGGGATTCATCATTGGGAGGTTTGGTGGATTTATTAGAGGACGCCATAGGCGGAGGTGGATACTGTGGCTGTGGTGGTGATGATGTTGTTGTTATTGTGGAAGGTCTTCGTTCGGTTTCAACAATCTGGGATAGGGTGGCGCAGGAGGTCCTCTTCATTTTATCCATGGCCGGTTGGCGACTTAACTCCTCTTTACTTTGGGTTCTTTCGATTTTCTGGCTGGGATGGGGAGAACTGGCACCGGAGGATGATGGAGCCATGGCTTCACTGGATTTCGAGGTGGGGGTACACATACCTTTACTACGCGTGGCAATCAATGCCGCCTGGGCTCCGAAAACCAAACCAATGGAAGAACGTTTTCGCAAATTGGCAACTTTTTGTTGTTGCATAAATTGCTGGGCCTGATTGACGGACGACTCCTCATCCGAATCAAAGGCCGGACTACTGGATCGCTCACTTTTCTCCACTTCACCAGAATCATTTTTCGAACCCGCTTTATTTGTCTTACCCTCTGATATACGTCGTTGTTCCTCAGCTTTGGTCTCAACCAAAGACCCATTAATGATCTCCGTGGCCTGCGCCAAGGGGTTGGCCTGCCCGGAACCACTATAACGTTTAGCCGCCGTACATGGCTGCTCACATCCCTCCTTATCCTGTGAACCTGTCAATTCCACTTTTGTCTTTAGGATTTTCTCTTCAATCGCACCAATACCCGCCGCATGTCCAGCCATACCAGACATGGCTCCCGCACTCAAAGCCACCATGGACTGCATTTTCCTTTGTTTCGCCTCACTGCGTTTCTGCATTTCATAGGCGGTCTTATAAATTCCGCCGTAGAGGACAAACAGCACAATCAGTGTCGTCCAATAATAACCAATAATGAGGGCCGTATTAAATACCGGATCTTTAAGGAACTGTACAGCACACTGACCGGGCAGTAGATCACGTTTTCCGGTAAAATGTTCCCACCCGAAAATCGATATGAAAAACAGCAGGGCAGGTATTATCCAGGTTATTGTGACCATATAAATCACGCGACGTTTGGTACGCCAGCTACGATATTTAGCGGCAATTTTTACCGAACAATAGCGATCGATTGTGATGAGCAGTACCGTGTATTGGGAGACCAGACAAACGGTATAGTCGACGGAAAGCCAAAGATCGCAAAGCAACGGGCCGAGATCCCAATAGCCCATTAGCACATAGACGGTGTAGAAGGGCATGGAGACGGTACCTTGAAAACAAGAGAGAGAAAAGAATGGAAGGTGAGGATTAGAAAAATGTACTAAAAACAGACACGGGTGATCTTTTAAGGCCTGAGGACCTTCAGAGGGTTTTCATAAATAATCTGTATATGTTATCCGCGGATAACAGCTACTAGGCCTATGGCCTCTAATGGATATCTATAAAGAACTTTTAAAGGTCCCTTAACGTTAATTTTAAAGTCCTCTAAGAAGTCCTTCAGGACGTCATCATATAATACCTCCAGAAGCTCTATTTTGCATATATCCAGAAGTTATATTTTGATGATCTCTAGAAGTCCTCAAGAAGTTATATTTAGATAACCTCTAGAAGTCCTCTTAAATGTCACCATAGATGACTTCTAACACGTCTCTTTAGTAGATCTATAGAAGGTCTCTGTAGAAGACATCCCAAAGGTCTCCATTCAGAGGAAGGTGTCTATAGAAAAATTCTATGAATTCTCCATAGATGACCTTTGAAAGGTCTCTATGGGCCGCTTGTGGAATTTCTCCCAAGAATTCCACAGGAAATATTCTTTACGAAATATATATGGGTCTATAGAGAGTTCCACAGGGTATCTACAGAATACCTCTACAATTTTTCTAAAGACGATGTCTATGGAATTTTCTAGAGGATCTCTATAGAATCTTTAGACTGTCTCTATAGAAGACCCCTGAATGCCTCCATAGACATCTTCTTGAAGTTCTCTAGAAGGCATCCATTAAAGATCTCTAAAAGGTCTCCAGAGAAGACGTCTGTAGAGGATTTAGAAGGTCTCTATAGAAGACATCTAGGAAGTCTCTATATGAGACCTTTAAAATACTGTCTCTATAGAAGACCCCTGAATGCCTCCATAGACATCTCCTTGAAGTTCTCTAGAAGGCATCCATTAAAGATCTCTAAAAGGTCTCCAGAGAAGACCTCTGTAGTGGATAGAGACCTTATCTATAGAAGACATCTAGGAAGTCTCTATATGAGACCTTTAAAAGGAAGGCTTGTGGAAGTCCCCTAAAGGTCTATAGAGGATTCTTAGTGTTCTCCATAGAATACCTATACAAGTTGTCTATGGAAGACATCTAAAAAATTCCCATTGATGGCCTCTAAAAGTTCTCTGCAGAACGTTCTATAAAAGGCCTGAAGTTCTCTACAGACCTTCTGAAGTACTCCGCACACCTTCAAAAGTTCTCCATAGACCTTCAGAAGCTCTCCATAGACTTCCTGAAGTTCTCCATAGACCTTCAGAAGTTCCCCACAGACCTTCAGAAATTCTCCATAGACCTCCACAGACCTTCAGGAGTACTCCGTATACCATCAGATGGTCTCCACAGACTTTCAGAAGTTCTCCATAGACATTCAGATGTTCTCCAAATATCTTCAGAAGACCTCCACAGACCTTTAGAAGTTCTTTACAGATATTCAGAAGTTCTTTACAGATATTCAGGAGTTCTTCAGAAGACCTTTAGAATGTCACCAAAGATCTTTAGAAGTTCTCCACAGACCTGCAGAAGGTCTCCAAAGAACTATAGAAGTACTGCATAGACCTTTAGAAATTCTCTACAGGCCTTCAGAAGCTCTCCATAGACCTACAGAAGTTCTCCATAGACCTTCAGAAGTTCTCCTCAGATATTCAGAAGTTCGCCACAGAACTTCAGAAGGTCTCCGAAGTCCTTTAGAAGTTCTCCGCAGAACTTCAGAAGCCCTTCATAGATCTTCATAAGGTCTCCAAAGACCTTCAGCAGTTCTCGACAAATCTTCTGATGTTCTCCATAGACATTCAGAAGTTCTCCATAGATCCACATAAGTTCTCTATAGACCTTCAGAAGTTCCCCACAGCCCTTCAGAAGTTCTCCAAAGATCTTCAGAAGTTATCCACAGACCTTCAGAAGTTCTCCATAGACCTTTAGAAGTTCTTCACAGACCTTCAAATGTTATCAATAGAGCTTCAGAAGTTATCTATACACCTTCAAAAGTTTTCCACAGACCTTCAGAAGGACCTCTGGAAATCGCAATAGAAATATTATTGAAGGTCTCTATAGAGAGCTCTACAGAGATCCTCAACAAGGTGTCTAGAAGGTCTTTAATAACGACCTCTAGGAGGTCTCTAGAAATCACATAAAGACACCATCCTTAACTATTGAAATCCTCTACAAAATCTCTATATAAGTGATCCTCCTCCTCCACAAAAATGTACTCACCTATCAACATATCTGTGGCCGCCAGTGATGCAATAAAATAATTACTCGGCTGACGGATATTACGATCGACAATAAATGCCAATAAGACCAAAATATTACCACCCACTGTCAGGATGATGCAGATGGCCAAACACACAGCAATGGCTATTGTTTGCCATAGCTCAAATGGTGGCAATACCAATGCTGGACCCTCTTCTGTTTCCTCGCCAGTACTGCCATATAAACTTGTACTATTTGTCGCCGCCAGAGTCGAGCTACCATTAACATAGGCCGCCAAACGTTCCAAATCATCACTGGTCCATAAATTAAGTTCACCATTTTCCCCAATATAAGGCCGATATAGTTTGGCTGCTTTCAGCAGACGCTTACATTCGTTATGTTCGACAAAACGATTGTAAATTGAACGGCAGAGATTTTCACGTTCCTTTTTAAGGCGCCTGTAAGGAAAAAAGGGAATAGAGATATAATTATAGAGAGGGAGATTGGTATCAGTAAAAATTAAGTGAGAATCTTAAATATTCTTTGTACTCACCATTGTGTTATAAAGTCCGGTTTTATTGAATAAATTGGATCTGTTTTATTATCGATTTCACCCGAGGAGGCCAAATCAAAATCCTCCATTTCATTTATTGCACTGGAAGTTTTCATTTTGTCTGCTGCGTTTGCTTTCACCGTTTTCCTCCGAACATTTCCAATTGTGTGTTATAATTATTATTATTATTTGGTAATAGTATTGTCATATAGATTGCCTCATCGGGGGCTGTTAGCTGCAAGAGAGGAGTGGTAAGAAGGGGTTATATTAGAATTAGGATAGATGAAAATAAGAGGTTATATATCAATTTATTTATTTAATAAGGTTCGAAGGCCCGAAGGAGATATTATTGAAGATGTCTAGACGGTCTGCAAAGAAGACCTCTAGAAAGGCTTTATAGAATACCTTTAGATGGTTGCTTTTAGAAAGGTTGCTTTAGAAAAAATCTAGACGGTCTATATAGAAAACCTCTTTAATATCTTTACATAAGATATATAGAACAACTCTATAAAATATGTTATGATGGTCTCTATAGATGATCTGGAAAGGGTATATAAAGAATTCCTCTACAAGGTCTCTATAGAAGGCCTCAAAACGTTATTTATAGAAGATATGAAGGAAGTATCTATGAAAAACAGTAGAAGATACCCCAAGAAGTTCCATAAAATATATCATGATGGTCTCCATAAAAGATCTGAAAAGGAAGGCCTCAATACGTTATTTATAGAAGATCTCAGGAAGGTCTGTATGAAGAACAGTAGAAGATGCCCAAAGAAGTTCTCTATTGAAGACTCCACAGACCTTCAGAAGTTCTCCAAAGACCTTCAGAAATTCTCCATAGACCTTCAGAATGTCTCCGTAGACCTTAAAATAGTCTCCTTAGAAGAAGGTCTAGAAGATATCTATTGATGATGCCTACAAAAAACGAATTCTAGAAATACTCGAATGAATACCTCCAATTTTAAAAATCCACGCCTATAAATAGGCTTTGAAATATTAATTTTAAAAATCCACGCCTATAAATAGGCTTTGAAATATTAATTTTAAAAATCCACGCCTATAAATAGGCTTTGAAATATTAATTTTAAAAATCCACGCCTATAAATAGGCTTTGAAATATTAATTTTAAAAATCCACGCCTATAAATAGGCTTTGAAATATTAATTTTAAAAATCCACGCCTATAAATAGGCTTTGAAATATTAATTTTAAAAATCCACGCCTATAAATAGGCTATGAAATATTAATTTTAAAAATCCACGCCTATAAATAGGCTTTGAAATATTAATTTTAAAAATCCACGCCTATAAATAGGCTTTGAAATATTAATTTTAAAAATCCACGCCTATAAATAGGCTTTGAAATTTTAATTTTAAAAATCCACGCCTATAAATAGGCTTTGAAATATTAATTTTAAAAATCCACGCCTATAAATAGGCTTTGAAATATTAATTTTAAAAATCCACGCCTATAAATAGGCTTTGAAATTTAAATTTTACCACGCCTATAAACATGCTTTGAAATTTAAATTTTAAAAATCCACGCCTATAAATAGGCTTTGAAATATTAATTTTAAAAATCCACGCCTATAAATAGGCTTTGAAATATTAATTTTAAAAATCCACGCCTATAAATAGGCTTTGAAATATTAATTTTAAAAATCCACGCCTATAAATAGGCTTTGAAATATTAATTTTAAAAATCCACGCCTATAAATAGGCTTTGAAATATTAATTTTAAAAATCCACGCCTATAAATAGGCTTTGAAATATTAATTTTAAAAATCCACGCCTATAAATAGGCTTTGAAATTTTAATTTTACCACGCCTATAAACAGGCTTTGAAATTTAAATTTTACCACGCCTATAAACATGCTTTGAAATTTAAATTTTAAAAATCCACGCCTATAAATAGGCTTTGAAATATTAATTTTAAACATCCACGCCTATGAATAGGCTTTGAAATTTTAATTTTAAAAATCCATAAATAGGCTTTGAAATTTTAATTTTAAAAATCCACGCCTATGAATAGGCTTTGAAATTTTAATTTTAAAAATCCATAAATAGGCTTTGAAATTTTAATTTTAAAAATCCACGCCTATGAATAGGCTTTGAAATTTTAATTTTAAAAATCCATAAATAGGCTTTGAAATTTTAATTTTAAAAATCCACGCCTATGAATAGGTTTTGAAATTTTAATTTTGGAAATCCACGCCTATAAATAGACTTTGGAAAATGAAGTTTAAAAATCCACGCTTATAAGTAGACTTTGAAATTTTAAATTTGGAAATCCACGCCTATAAATAGGCTTTGAAATTTTAATTTTAAAAATCCACGTCTATAAATAGGCTTTAAAATTTTAATCTTAAAAATCCACGCCTATAAATAGGCTTTGAAATTTTAATCTTAAAAATCCACGCATATAAATAGGCTTTGAAATTTTAATCTTTAAAATCCACGCCTATAAATAGGCTTTGAAATTTTATTTTTAAAAATCCACGCCTATAAATAGGCTTTGAAATTTTATTTTTAAAAATCCACGCCTATAAGTAGGCTTTGAAATTTTAATTGTGGAAATCCACGCCTATAAATAGGCTTTGTTAGCCCTGGAAAAAATATTTTTTATAAATCCACGATTCTGTTAGCCCTTGGTAGTCCTTTTAAAAATCCACCATTTGTTGGTCCTGGAAAAATTAATTTTAAAAAATCCACTCTACGATTTTCACGGTCCGGCACTAACTGCCGTTAAAATAGAGTCCTTCGAAATGTTTTCCAAGGTAGAAGACCTTCTGTAAGTATTCTGACTTTTTTATAAAACCTTCTTTGAGTGTTCTATAGATCTTCAATATCCATAAGACCTCACGGAGATCTTTCACAACCTTCCAAGTCAATCAGAAATCAAGTTGCAACACATTTTTCCCTGCTACTTTAAATCCGCATTTATCCTTAAGACTTAATAAAAATAATTGGATTTGCAAACACTATTACGCAGTTACGCCAATCGCCCCTTGAGAGAGCTCTCTGCTGCTGTCCACCCCTTTTTTGCAAATTTGACATTGGATTGACTTTAACCACAGTTGCCAATAAATTAAATTATTCAATGGAAGTTGAGTTGTAGTTGTTGTTGTTGTTCCTGTCCGGTGCGGTGATGTGGCTGCTGTCGTATTTAGAGATAGCCTTAATGATTTTTCTATTTACCACTAAATTGCCATATAATTTAATGTAGTCATCATGTTTTTTTGCTAAGTGTGGATGTTTATATTCCTAGAATAATATGCAACTGTCAATCCACCATGGCGACTGAATGTCATGCCCTCCCGACCCCTCTCGCCGAGCAGCTCTCTAATAGAACACCTTGATGATGGTGATGTTGTTATTTGATTTGAAAGTAAAATGCATTTTTTGCCTTCCTTTCTTCATTTTTTTTGCCTGTTTTTAAGGTTTCACGATGCTTTCCCTGCCCTTCCCGCCTTCCCGTGGCAATGGGTAATGTCTTTGCTGAATTTATGCCCGGGCCTGAAGTACTAGTCGTCGTGTTGTTTTGTGTTTTTGACAGAAGGGTCTGAGCATCGGAAGTAAATGCTGTAGTTTTACATCCTCCTAAGTATTGCCAAGAATTCCCAAGGATGTTGCACAACTTGAGTTTGAGTATTTAGATCGGGTGAGGTGTGGGAGGGTAGGTAGAGAGGAAAATTCATGAATACTCGGTTCGATGGATGGAAGGTTGTTTCGTTACGATTGTTGAGTAAGGAGAGGGTGAGGGTGGGGGAAAACTACAAAACTGTTGCATTTCCTTTGCGAATATTGTTTTTAAGGATAGTAAATTTTGTTGCGGCAAGCGATAAAGCAAACTTGCGGAACACAAAACCTGGAGAGAGATGTGCAAGACGAATTCTGCTTGGTTTCCGCATTGCAAATTTCATTAAACTTAGAAAAAAATGTACAGGTGGGGGTTTTCTGTCAGAGTCATAAGGTAGGATAGTCAGAAGAAAATAGGTTATCAATAAAATAATAGGTTGGGACATTAGGGTATTTCCAGGATTTGCGGAAAATAATTTAAAAAAAATATTTTTGGAGGGATCATCAAAGGCGTAATTTTTTAAATTTTTTTGAAGGACTATCAAGGGCTTCGATTTTTTAAAGAATATTTTTTGAGAGCCTATCCATAGGCGTGGGGGTGGCGTAGGGGATGATAGATACCAAGCAACGGTGACATGGCGAAGTCCAGGCTTATCTTGGTCACCTCAATTGTGGACACTGACCTCCCCGTGGTGCAAACTGGGATACCTATTTTCATCACCCGATGAAATAGTGAGCTAATATGTGCCGCAAGTTCACCCATAAGAACTATAAAAAAATGGGTTGAGGCGTCGGGTTAGTTGCCCACACTCGGAAAACCGAACCTACTATGAAAAAGCAAAGAAAAAGAAAACCAAACCCACCTAATGTTGACGACCCAGAAGAAACATCAGACAACGGTATGATGTGGATTAACTTCGTGGCAGCGAAAAATATGGTAGTTAGCAGCACCAGATTCAAGCATCTCTATACACACAAGGCCACTTGGATTTCTCCCGATCGTACAACGAGAAATCAAATTGATCATGTTGTGATAGACTGAAGGCATTCATCCAGTGTTTTAGACATCCGATCGATTCGGACGAGGAGCAAATATCAATTCGTACCATTACCTTGTGGCAGCCAAGCTACGCACCCGTCTTAATGTTGCAGCTTGCGATATAACACAACACGGAAACTCGACGTCGAAAAGCTGCAAACACAACAGGTGGCAGAGGCCTACTCCGCTCAACTTACCCACCTGCTTGACGAAAGCACCCCTTGTCCCGATAATAATATAGAAGCACAATGGCAGAGAATTGCCCACTCCCTACAAACAGAAAAAAAAGCAACACTTGGGTATCAAAAAACACCACAAAGAAACCCATGGTACGATCATGAGTGTCGTAATGCTACTGATCTGAAAAACGGAGCTTATAGGGCAACACTGCAGACAGTAGCAACACGTAATGTGATTTAGAATTATTGGGAGAAAAGAAGAGAAGAGAAACGTGTTTTCAGAAAAAAAGAAGCAAGAATGAGAAAAACGTAAGC